TAATATCTCGGCTAATTAAAGTCGCACGAAGATGCCGATGGTCAATCCGGCGAGCCACGGGCATTCTCAATCCAACGGTACCTTCCGCTAAGCTCTACACCCAGCCGTTCCCGAGGAGATGATGTTACAAACACACAAACAGACAGAGGCACACAGATTTTAATAGTATAGAAGATAAATCATTTTTAGCCCATAATCCTGTGAATCTTTGTTTAATTCTTTAAATCTTTTGTGCCCCATACATATTATGTGATAATAAAATACTGCAGACCAAATTGTGTGTAATTAATTTTGTGAACTGCAGTCTCATAAATAAGATATTGGGAATAAATAGGTTGTAATGATTTATTTAAATAGCCATTTATTTTCATGTTAATATTTTTCCATCTTTATTTTTCATTTAGATTTCACTAATATTTTAAATTAACATGAATTTAAATGATGCACATACGTAAACATTTTAACCTTTGCGGGTAACAATGAGTCAGATTATATAAACAAGGTTTAAGAGTCTCTGTTAGTAGCTTGTAGCTGAAATACCTTGCAGCACTGGTGAGGGATTTGTTAATAAGAGTTTATCCTAAGTAGATGATTAGTAGTTAAAGTTTTAAGAGATGTAATTTCTGTACGATGATTAGTTCAAAACAACAAAGTCAAAAACAAATAACTCAATAGACGTTTATACTTGGCTGTCAAAGATTTCTTGCATTTCCAAAACTGAAATCTAGAATTCTAGGTGTGATTCCATATGAAATGTTAGGTCGAATTTCACAGTAAATATGTTTAGATTAAATGCATTTAATTAAAAGCCAAGTGCTGATTGTAATTAATAAATTCAGAAAACTATTTTTAAAAGAAAAGTATCAAACTTAATAAACGTAAATTTCCAGAATTTGGTTGACTCTGCTTTCCATGAACTTCGTGTTTGATTAATTTTTGCAAATTCAGAATTCTTTAAATTCTTAAAGGCTACTTTTCTTCATGCGTAAACATAGGGAAGAAATTATGCAAACATGTCGGATAGTACTACAAATGGAAATATTATATAAAATACTATTTAAAGATGATGACAACGTTTTGTAAGTTCGGAATGCAAAGTAATCTTACATTAGAAAAGGCGAATATGTATGCCGTAAAGGCAGTTAGATGATAAGCTATTGAAATATAAATTTCAATAGCTTATCATCTAACCCAATAGCTTATCATCAATCTTATCATCTAATGTGTAGAAAAGATCCTTTACGGCGATGATATTTGGAATATAAATTGCTAAAAGTATGCGAAAGCTTCGGCTACCACCGGATATCTTCACCTATAAAAATCGTTACTGCGGGGACTTGTAAAAAAGTTTCAAATTTATAGTTACATTTTTTGCTCCTTTGGCGTGCTTGTTGACAAAGTTTATACGAAATGTTACCACACACAAATACTAATTCTGTATCTCCAAACATTAAATTTAGCAGAATGTTTAATTAATTATTCTTGTCTTTAAACTGTGGAGGCAACGATTTTCAGAGTAATTTAAAATGGAAGCCTATGTTTTAAAACTTTATTTTGAAAACAGGTAAGCTGTAATTTTTTGTATTTAAAACTTTGAATTTTAAGGTTATAATAATAAATCCAGAGGATGTTATAAGCTTTATCAATATGATCTAATTTCATGATTTTCATTCTGTGAACTGTTTTTATGTTAGTTTTATGATATTATGTGATGAATGAGTTTTAACGCATGGGTTTCTTATTTCAGTTGTCGTTTAATTTATTTTATTATTTAGTTATTTTACATTTTATTTTAAAAGTTTTCCCCTCTGCTATTCTGAAGTATTTAAAGATTATTTAACCGCGACATCAGTTAAGATAACAAAAAATAATATATTCATAAAAATCTGAGATTAAAGATATATGTAAATGTACATAAGTAAATGAAAGCGGACTGACATTTCGATTTTAAATCACTACAGACGCGCGCGGTTGATCTATGTTTACATTTACAAGCAGTGGTTTCGAGAGTGAAAGTAGTCAAACACAAACTGAGAAAGATCACTGAGTAGTCAAAAATTTCAGTTCACTCTGTGCGCTCGATAAACTAACATCAACACTGAGCAGTCAAAAATGTTTAGTTCTCTCCGTGTGCTCGGCGAGAGTTAACATCAATATTAACACATCAAAAATGTTATTCGAGACGGAATATTAGACTGATTGGTCATTTTAAATAAAACATTATTTGGGTCATTAGAGAATGGGTGGCATATTAGTTAAGTAATAAAATGTGTAGAAAAAATCATAATGCTGTCAGAAGACAGTTTTAAGGAAATTATTTTCTACCTCGAATTCCAGTTTCACTACTCAGAGTCTTAAGTTAAACAAATATATTTATGCATAAAACTTCATCCATAGTGATCTAAAAATAGTTTAATCAGATTTATCTTACAAAAAAGGTTTTAACAACTTCTTTGCTTTTTTTAAATCTGAGTTAAAATATGCTGAACCCAGACGTCCAGAAATAGTTGTCTGATTTCATTAGCAAAATTAGCTCAAGCAAAAAGCTTTTCACTGGAGAATTTTCGTTTTTCTTTTCTTAAAGCACTGCTATATTTAAAATGATTTCTGGTGCAACAGCTAATCTGTAAATCAAAGATTATATATATATATATATGTCTAAGGAAAGAACAAAAAACTGCATCTTTAATCCAAATTTTAGTTGAGTTTAAAGTTGTCTGTATCCAAATTATTTAAAAATTTTAAACATTTTTTACTTAAAAAACATTTATAAACTTTGTATAATGCATTGAGATTTACAGTGTTTTGCCTTTCAAAACAGAATGAATAAGACTTTGCCTATTAATTACTCTTATATCTACAATAAGGAAATTGATGTAACACCAGTATTAGAAGATTAGAAAGATATTGAATTCTACGGAATATAAAGGTTTAAATTTAATGTTTCCAGATTAATTGCATAAAAAATTCCACTTTGATACAAATCTTCATGGAAACTGGATTTCTCATATATTAATGACGTCAGTAGAATGGCCAGCTCTGAATTTGGCAACACTGAGATTGTAAAACTTTCATATCAGTTGCTTTTCCAACGGCCGGACACTTTGCTAGCTAAGTTTTTGTCGCAAAAGACCGAATAGATCGCTCATTTAGTTGTCTCATCACTGAGAACATTGCCCAAGGTGCACAGAAGGTGGCCTGAATTTACACCCCGAAAATGGGAAAAATGAATTTAATTTCCATGGACCACCGGAAGTTTCCAGAAGACGGATTCGATGGTCCTTAAGTTCGTGATCCATTTTTACTGCCAATAAACTTCTCAAGAGGATCTTCAGCTTACCAGTATTAGTAAATGGCACATGTTTCACCGATACTGTACATCCACAAAAACTCATGCCTTCTCTAGGATTTGGACCTAAGCCCCACGAAACGGCAGTCAGTCGCACTAGCCACGTTCAAACAGAGCGGCATCTTTCCCATCAAAGAATATATCAGTTGCCTCAAGCGTTTCATATCTTCTGCAACAATCAATGGTCGCTTATTCCGTGTCTTATAGCAGACAAAGGGAAGGGAAAGTTGTATCTGCTGTGAAAACTACTGTTTTATGCAATGGTTGCATTCGATTACTCAGACACTTCTTGCAGTACATGAATTAATTGCAAGTGTTCTTTTATATACCTCAGATCCTTAGTTTTCTTTTCATAAAGAACATTTCTGTTACATCTTTCCAGGAACAGCTTCGTTTGCTAAACATACGTGAAGCTAAAAAATTTGCTCAATAAAATTTGTAAAAAAGCCTATAATTTTACATATGTCTGTATTAACTACAAATCCATATATTGTCATTTCTCTGAAATCCAATTTAAAAAAAGTTCGTAAACTTTTAGATCATTCTATATTTAGTATATGTTTCTGCCATTTTTCCAAAAGCGCAGTTACATTTATATAGACATATTTACTAGTATCAATGAAGTATATACTTATTCCGAGTGTCATCAAAAGATCTCACTACAAGGCTTACCAATTTGAGTTTCTACATTTGGGCAGGAAGTGTGGACTTGCAGAGCACATCGCATCACGCAGGGGGCGGAGTGAAGAACTGATAAGAGATCGTTCGCCCTACACCCACTCAGAGAAATGAAGCCACCTATCATCTAGGACAACTTAGACTATCCCTTTGGATAACAGAAGTCGAGACTGTATATTTTATGTACTCAGTGACTCGTGAACAAAATAAAGAGAATTTGAAAATTATGTTAATTTTTAGGAAACAAGACTGCTACAGTTTCACAGCTTTCAAGTGAGCCGTATGTTGCCACTGGAACCCGGGTTTCACGATTTACAATTGCCTAAAGGCTTCATGAGTTAGGGCTGTTTGCATTTCGCTCACTGCATCATATAAGAAAGCAAGTTCAGCCAGGCCAATTTTGGCATTCGTTCAACATGTTACAGACAACATGAGGCTTGGACCAGACTCCTGTGGACTACCGTGCCTTTTAGAGATGAGTCAGGATTCAGCTTGGGCATTGATTTTCGGTGTACCTGTATGCGAAGAGAGCCTGGAATACGCGGCCATCACTCCCTCATCAGAGAAAAGGATCATTGCGGTGGAGGAGATGCACATAAGACCGAAAGACCTCTAGAGAGGCTTAGCAGTAGAAGAGGTGTGGTTCCTCCGATCCCACAGGTACAAAATCGATCGCCTCCTGTAGTGTACCTTGGGCAAAGCTCTCGGTGCGATGATATAGTAAAATGACCATCGGATATTGGCCATTTCTGAAGAATGAATTAAATTGCAAGTGCCCTGCCATTTGAAATAACCACTTAGTAACAGTGCATTTATTCGATGCTCATTAAATGTATGGGAGCTAAATGAAACCATCTGAAATTGGACTAATAGTTTTGAATAATTCTAAGTTATATTTATTGCGACAAAGCAAAACATTATTTTAGCACTAAAGAAATCATAAATATTTTTTTAATGTTATAGATTACATTACCATCCGTTGATATGGTTCTGCAACGTACTAAATCCACCTTATTGGCTACTAAAATGTAAACCTTTGGTCCCAAATTCGGGTAGAAGTATTGGCATTTGACTTCCAGACGTCTCAGTTTTTCCAGTGTCTGCACAGCAAATGTGAGGGTCTTTCGTCGTGTTACCGAATACACTAAGAGGAAGGCATCAGTGGCACAAAATGTGTTTTCATCGACCTGGTGGAGAAAAGAAAGTTACATCACAAAACATATGCTACTATAAGTGCTATATACTTATCTTTTGTTTTTAAGTGAGAAAATGAGTAAGATCCGATCAAAGACAGAAGTTTAAAATGCCATGCAGTAAAATAATATAAATTATGAAAACATTTATAAGAATTTCGCATAAATTTTACCAGCATTCAGACTCGCATAAAATGCGAGTTTTTTATACTATAATGTAACCCAAGATTTTTTGTTTCACAGAATATTAAAGAGCTTCATTTAAACGTCTTAATAACTTAAGTGCTAGAATGCAGATTTGGCCCATTCGCTAAACGTGAGATTTATTTTCAAGTTTCCGAAAATTTATCATTCTTAGTTGGGAATTAAACTTTGAAATTAATTATATTAATACTCGCTCATTTTGACTTTATCAAAAATAGAGCAGATAATTGGAGGATAGTGTGGCCTATCTCAAGAAACCTTATCTCAAAATGTATGTAAAATAATTACTAAAATGTGGGTGTTACAAAGCCTTTTCTCAGAGCTCACAAATAGTTTCGAGCTATTTTTACTTCCTTGTACGAAATAAAGGAAGTATTGTAATCACGAAAAATTCCGGGTAGCATATTTCAACGAAAATATATATTTTGACCGCTATCGAATGCAATTTAACAAGGTTTTTGCCTGACATCCCTATGTAAAGGCAAAATAAAGAACTCTTTTCCTCCCAAAAAATTATAAAACTGATTTAAAATGGATTCCGAAGAGATTTTTTTGTGGCGTCTGTACGTACGTATGTATGTATCTCGCTTAACTCAAAAACGAACCTTAGAACGTTGACATTTTACATATAGGACTGCTATAGGATGTAGTTGTGCACCTCTCTTTTTGGTGGCAATCGGTGGTACCAAATGCCGAGTAACAGAGTGGGTGCATACACCCACTCTATTACTCGGCAAACAATTGATTCGGCAAAACAATCTCCTATGTCATAACATATAATTTTGGGGAGGCATATAAAACAATCTCTGGAGAACTTTCTAAAGAAAATTGGAATTTTTATTAACATTAGCAGTGGATAAAACGATGGAAAACCCACGAAACCACCTTAAATTAATGTTAGAATGTTAATTTTCATGCTATATTTTGAATACTTCTGCATACGTTCATTACTCAAATTCTGAGAAAAGGAATTTGACTTTTTATTTCACAATTATTTTATAAGTTTAAAAAGTGTAATTTGTTTCAAATAATTAATCCTATACTCATAGTTTCGTCTCGGCATTAAAAATCTATCATTAGTTTCTTCGTTTAGCTTGCGAAAAAGGAAATAAATTCATATTTCGTTTATTTAAAAATATACATTGCGAATGTTTTAAAAGTATCTTTTAATCAAATTAGTATAATTGGAAAAAGAAATTTAATGTTAAAATTAAATCTTGAATAAAATGATTAGAGATAAAATAATATTTGAATAAATACATTTCTTACCTGTAGAAATTATTTCACAGAGTAAAATAAATTTAAACCTTTTTTTTTGAAATATAACTTATTCTTTCAGGTTTATTTTATTTTGAAATGCTCGAATTTTGATCCATTTACATCAAAAGAATCCCGATTAGTTTTAAAGCATTTTTTGTGCCAGCTTTTTTTTCTACGTAAAGCAGACATTCTTTTTACATAAACATTAAAATGCAGACTTTTAATACCCGAGACTTTAGATTTTTAAATTTTATCTGGAAATTTTGAGTAAATGCTTGTTGGAATTCTATTTTAAACGCAACCCAATTAAAATTAAATGTTATTTTTGAGAATAAATACTTTTGGGAAATGGGAATTTCAAATTTTATTTTGCTTCTTTGGTTCGTATGAGGAAAACCATGTCCAATTTATTTATAAATGCAAATGAATTTCGAATGATGCTTTCATTAATGCTTTCTTTTGCCAAGGTTGGATTCATTAGGAAATACTTTATTATATGAGAACTGTTTTTAACATTCTAGTCATTCATTGAAGGTGAAAGAGATATCCTCAGTTGACGACCTTAAACATCTACCTTTTTAATGCTAATCATAAAACGTTGCATTTGCATAACAATGAGAGATGCTTGTGGATGCTATCTGGCAGTAAATCTGCATTGTTTCGCGTTCCCATTACTTGGAATTCCACAAGTCATTTTAACAGCAATCTGGTAAAATTTCCGATTTACACTTTTTCTTTAATTTTAAAATACTCTTCTTTAGCGCAGACATCTAATATTTTTCAAACATCATCCAATTGCGTATTATGGAGGAATGAGCTTTCATGATTATTTTTTATTCGTACATTACGTACTAAGAACAGGTAGGGGTATTTTCACCAGATTAATATTAAAGGCTTCCTGTGATTTGAAATTTCTAACTTGAACGTATTCTTAGCTCGCACAACTGTTTAAAGTTTTACTTCTTGTCCTGCAAGAATAAATCAAAAAATATACATGTTGGCGAGAGAAGTTAAAGAATAACCTGTAATCCTGTTTATTTGAGGCGCAATTATCATTAAAATGTTTTAGAAGTAAATTAATGTGAAACTATTGAAGGTAAAAATTATGTATTATTTCGGAATATAATATACAAATAAAATCACAGTAGCTAACTAGGATATTAAGCTTATACATATATAGATAAAAACCGTCCTATATGGCCTGATATACTTCTAAAAGAACTATAAATTGATTTTTTAATTGGCAATTGATTTTTCAATACGATCTCCTTGTACCACGATATACATTTTATATCATTTAATGAGCAACTCTATGCACCCGACAAAGTACTTCCAAAGGCTATTCTGAAAATATTCCATAGCTGGTATTTTCACGCTATTTGTCATCATTAAATCTCTTTCCACGAAAGAGCGATTTCAGTTTGGAAGACAGATAATATGCACTTAAAGCTAAGTCTTGTCTCTAAAGGAGATGATCAAGATCCTTCATTACTATTTTTAAATTGCACTGACACATTTCTGTTTCTGAAGTGTTGAAATAAGTCTGGATACTCTTCTTGCGGAAATTTTGTTCAGATGAAAATTTTGATATGCTGTTGCGTTGGAATTAAGACCTTACAAAGTCAAACATTTAAACGCAGAATGATAGATACTCAGTCTGAAACATATCAGGGCAAACTAGCACAGAATTTCATCCAGTAAAAATTTAAAAAAAAAAAAAAAAAAAAAAAAAAAAAAAAGAAGAATGCAGACGATATCACTAATGGAATGTCCAAATTTATTTAATATAAGTGTGGGCCAAATAAGACCCATTAATGTTAAACACGGATAACTCTTGTAATAATCATTTATTTTGATTAATTCTTTTAGACATTAAAAATAGAACTTTTACTTTCTGGATACCTAGCCGAAAACAGAAATTTCCGCTACGGCATTATGGAATAGCCCAAGAACTGTAACAGCCCGAAAGAAGTACTAGTAGCCTCAGCACTCGTCGACCTATTGAGGACCGTTAACCCGATAAGAGTTGCCAATGTAACTGACAAGGCAAGAGTTTTTAAGAAAGGTGAAGGGGTTGCAGCATGTACTCCCGTGACCAGCATTAAACGAAACACTAAAAGTCCATAATTCGTGATTTCAGAGAATATTACATCGGAGTTATTGTAGAATCCACAATTGAGCGATGAAGAGAGGAATGCTGCAGAACGTGCCATTCAAGAATTTCAAGTTGTTTTCTCCCGCTCCGTCTTCTGAAGTGAGTTGAACCAGTTTGACGCAGCATAGAATCGATATCGGGTATCACTCACCAGTTAAACAACGTTCAAGAAGTGTACCGATTGCTAAACAGGAAGAGATAGGAAAACTTCCAAAGAACATGCAAGAAAGCAACGTCATCGAGCCTTTAGCGAGTCCATGAGAATCTGCTATCTCCCTGATCAGAAAAAAGACCGTTCAATTAGATTTTACATTGACTATCGCTGGTTGAACGAGGTTACGAAGGCAGACATCTGCACGCTTCGTGGAACTGACGACATTCTGGACATTCTTTCTGGAAGTAAGTGGTTTCGACACTTGATTTAAAGAGTAGGTATTGGCAGGTAGAGATACATACTGATGACCGAGAAAAGACGGCATTTACTACCGGACAAGGACTATGGCAGTCAGATGGCAGTCAGGTTCACGCCGTTTGGACTATGTAATGCGTCAGCAACATTCTACACCTCATTGAAACTGCGTTGAGAGTTTTTTATTACTAAGCCTGTATTCTATATCTGAACGACATCATCATCGTCGGGAAGAATTTTGTAGAATATTTTGAAAATCTCAGAAAGATGCTTCAGAAACTGAAGGACGATAATCTAAAGTTAAGTCTTGCCAAATATAAATTAATTCAGACACGAAGTGACTTACTTTGGACATGTCATCTCTGCTAAAGGTGTGTGCATAGATCCTGAAAAAGTGTCAACAGTTAAAGACTGAAGACGCCCCGAACATGTCCATCAGCTGAGAAGTTTCCTTGGATTTTGTGCGTACTATAGGAGATTTAAAGTACTTTTCTTCCATCGCAAGACCTCCATTAAAAGCTGAGAAATCAAGCAAAAGTTTTTGTGGGCAAAATAATGTAAGGTTACAATTAACAACCTGAAGTACGCTTTCACATCTGCTCCAACAGACAAGTGGATACAGAGACTCCAGAAATATGATACGATACATCAATATCCGTCATCGGAAGAGATTATCAGATAGCAACGCCTACGCCCTGTCTAAAAGGCCCTGCCCAGAAAGCTGCCAATATTGTTCCAGAGTCGAAACGAAATAAGAGCTGCTTAATCCAGTCGCACGAGAAGTTACAGCATCAACATCGGCTGATCGAGACCCACGGAATGACCAGTCAGGGACGACAAGCTGGGGGACGGCGACATAATCCAGAATTGACTTAATGGAGTCTTCAAACAGAAAACCTACCTGGCAGGACATTTCTATCTATAGACGTACGACAAAACAATATTGGGCTCTCAGGGACTCCATAT